AACAACGAACTTAAGTGCCTATTTGGATATTTCCGTAACCCAGAACTTGGAAGTGACATCGTCAACAGCGGTTTGAAGACCTCGATCCATAAGATAACCTGTCAGGTATTTATCGCCACGCGAATCGTATGTAAACTCTCTCTCTCCGCGACCACACTTTATTCCATTTAAATTTTTAATAAACCCTTTGTTGATTGTTAAGGGTAGTTTGAGTCTCTTCCCTATGTTAACTCTGACCTGTCGAATCCGACTGTTCGCGTACGGGACCGCTCGCGCAACAGACGACGAAATCGCCGTCTCGGCTTCCGTGTTCCTCTAAACACGGTGGTGTCAATCCTGACTGGGCACTAAGGAGGTGCCGACCCGGAAGGTCACATATATACTCCTATACTATCTTCTTTTGTATATGTTAAGATATAAAATTAAATAAAAAGTCTAAGATGTAAAGGATATATACGATAATGGCCTTGTGACATTCAAAAAAATGGACTAACTTCCGGGCTAAAACTAGACTAAAACCATAACCAAAAGTTAACTTTTTAAAGAAAAATAAAAAGAAAGACTACTTCTTTGTGGCATTTCATTTCAGGTATGCAGGAATTCATTTAAAAGTATATGAAAATTGTTACAAACTTCACAATTAGCAATTATGTAAACGTAAACATTTGATTTTACTCTGTTTACAGGTGCTCCTTCATCAGAGCAGAATAACCCTGACTGGGCTCCTACATTATTTCTATCAAGCACGATATGTGACGAGAAGCAAAATCGTCAAAAAGTTGCAAGGTTCAAACAATTAAAAAAAGAAAAATAATTGCTTCAGGTATGTTTAATGTTGACATTGAATAAAAATTTTGTTCTTACCAGTAGATAAAGCGTTTATGAATTAATATTAATCAAGGCTCAACTTTTTAGTACCATTCTCAAAGCCAGGAAGTTAATAACTTCCACAACTAGTTTATTAATTTGGTAATTAGAGCATGGTTAATGAATCCAATATTTTAAAAACTTACTAGCATTTTAATTTTTTTGTATATTTGAGCAAGTAGAACAAGTGTTAATTTTAGCTGTTGCTTAACTTCTGTACGTCAACAACTATGCACTTCAACTAGTATAAATTTAGCTCTCAAACTAGTTTGAATAATATTGTAATTAGCATAAATTTAAATTTTATGAGATGTTCTTTCATTTCTTTTTACAGACACTTTTAACGACAACCATGAAATTGCTGTGGTGGCTGAATCAGTGCAATCTCAAGAATATGCTGTTGAACAAGTTACCATACCAAAACAATTATACTGTAACAAGAAAATGCTGAATTGCAGTTGAAGTTGGACACCCAGACGTTATTTAGTGAACTATTTTCAGAAGACAGTGAAAATTAGTGATACAGATTTAATTTTAGCAGATGATAAGCTGTTAAATTTTTATTCAGGAATAAGAGGTGTTGACATTTTTGAGTGTGTCATTGCTTATTTGAAACATTTCTGGAAACCAATTTCATCAACCCAGTTGAGTTTATCTGTGCAGTTTTTGTTCGTACTAATGAAGTTGAGATTAGGAACATTGAATGAAGACCTTGCCACATGCTTTCAAATACCATCTTCAATGATCAGCAAAACCTTTCATGAATGGTTAAAACTTTTGCATTATAGTTTAAAATTTTTGATTAAGTGGCCTTCCAGACAAGAAATCAGAAAGTGCTTGCCTTCTTGCTACAAGCATCCAGACTTTGAAAGAATAAGATGTATTATCAACTGTAGTGAAGTTTTTATGGAAAAACCCAGTAATTTTCTGGCCAGGTGCCAAACTTACTCCAACTACAAGAGCAACAATACCATTAAATTTTTTGTCGTCATAGCTCCTAATGATTGTGTGAGTTTTATATTTAAGGCAAGGGGAGGTAGAGTCAGCGACAAGATTCTTACCAAAGAAAGTGGACTACTTGATTTACTAGATGAGTAATACAGTATTAGTCGATCAGGGTTTTCAAATAACAGATCTGTTAGCCTTTTGGTTCCATATAGCACAAGAGGTAAAAATCAATTGGCTAGTGCTGATGTTACCAATTCTCATGCAATGTCAAGAATATGAGTTCACGTTGAATGAGCCATCAGAAGAATGAAAAGGTATATAATACTTGCAATAATGATGCCAATTTCATTGATCAAACGAGAAAGTGATGCTGATGTGGTGACAATTGACAAAATATTAACAGTTGTTGCAGCTTTGTGCAATTTAAAACCTCCATTAATTAAATAAATAAAAAAAGTTTGATTTTTATTTGTTCATTTATTTATTTGCTGTTGCATCATTCACACTTCCAATTTTGTTTTGTTCTAGCCAAATTTACACACTTAATATGAAAAGCACATTTGCACATACTACACAAAATCACAGTTTCCGGGTAAACAGTGATTTCTTTCATCTTTCCACTCACTACGTAATTATAACTCTCAAGTGAAGTATAATTTTTCAGTTGCTGTTTTG